TTTTTCGATAGCCATAATTATATTCTTGGTTTTTTGTTCACTACTCACAGTACATAAGGCTTTTTTTAAATAAAATTAAAGGTACAACTCAAAAAATTAGAACATAGGGAGTTAAATTTGTCCATTAAAGATTAAATTTACAAATAAGAAATCATCCATTATAGCACCTTTAAGTATTACAAAATACATATATAGCACTCCCATCCCATTTTCTACATTTCTAGCACCTCCTACGCGTTTCATCTCTCTAATATTCCTAATTTAACCCTGCGTTCTTTATCTTCCACCTGCGGTTGTTGAAAGGGTCCACTTTCCCGCATTTCCCCTTCACATGCGCAATTTCAGGAGGGAGTTAATCGCCAGCCGTTACATCCCATCGCCTATTACAACGCGCTCCAATCATGGTCCTCACTATTCCTCCCCCAAAACCAGAGAATCGCACGCAGCTCCTTCGCCGGCTGTACCACATCATACACGATAGACATCATCTTCCCCATTCCAAATCCCAGGAGTATCGCACCTTTGCAATTGAGTTCCGCAGAGACCTGGCCGAAGCTTTCACACCTCACAGCCCACTCCGGTCAGTCAGGCTCATCCTGAATTTGCTTATATCTATCATATCCGTGAGTAGGGTTTGTGTTGTTATTATTCTCCATTTATTAGCTATTGTTAACCCTGCTTTTCTTTAAGCTAATTTAATTAGGCAGTGCTCCTTCTAAATGAAAAAGATCAGATTTTTCTGGTTACAATTCTACTAATTCTTATGACCCAACAATGCCCCTCGAATTAATTTTATTTCAATTTTAATAAATTAGGGTCTGTGTATTTATTCACGTTGATGTTACCCCAATTATCAAAACCTGAATCACCTAACTCAGCAATTTTCTTCAATCTCACTGACCATACAATTCTCTTTTGTTCTAGGGTTCGCACTCATGGATTCAAGTATTAAGGTATTGCTGCGCGTTGATGGATCGTGGGACAATCTTGGAAATTTCACTTCGAAATACGACACTGTTATTCATGTCCGTAGCGAACCCTCTCTAAAAACACTCATGGACACTGTCAAGGCAGACATTTCAATGGATTGGTCTCAAAATGACATTCGGTTCCCCTACATGGTTGCCTTATGTCCCCCACCTATCGTCATTGTGGACGACGCTGAACTTTTGTTCTATCTGAAGTTGACGTCCCACCAATCCGACTTGTCATATCTGCCATTATGCATGGAGGTTTTGCCTACTGCCACAGCTACTCATCTGAGTGCCCAAGCCAATCACTCGAACGAACGAAGCGAACTAACCGAATGCCAGTACCCACAGTTACTCACACCAAATGAATTCTCAAATGCCGATTCTGATCCCTCAAACAATTCCAAGGGAACCAACCGAACTAAACGGAGGAGACTCCCCTCAAATTCGGTGGACGTTATTTCACATTATCACCCAACCACTCTTCAAATTGACAGCATTTACAAGTCCAAGGAAGACTTGTGCCATCATCTCAGAATGTATGCGGTGTCTAATAATTTCCAGTACAAGACAAAGAGGTCAAATACGACATTGTTGCACGTTGTTTGCGTTGACGACCAGTGTCCTTGGGTAGTTCGTGCCGTTCGTCTAGAAAACTCTCCCTTATTTCAGATACGAAGGTAACTACTATTTTTCTTAAAAGATGTTTGGTTGTTAACATAATAAACAGACCCACTATATGCATTCACTTAAATTTGAAAACCAATTTACGCATGCTTGTATTCCAATTCTGCAAACCACTTACAGCCATTGCAACCAACATCTTTCGGCAGTGTCCTCACATATTTGTGCACTATCACACATAAAACACTTCACACATTGCATACAAACTCATATCTCTATAAACAGACTGCCATTCTGCATTAACTCCAACACCTTAAACCAAATCTCATTAGAAACATGATGGGAAATGTGTCGCACTGTGCACTCACTTCCATATCATTTCATGTTATCACACGCGTGTAGTCCATTTTTGAAACCTATTCTCATTCACAGCACAAATTAGCAAGTGGGGTAAACCCCACAGCCCCAATGTGACAACTACACTGCCATAACATCCACTGCATTTCCAAAATTATCAGTCAAAACACAGATCAGTGTACACACTCTCGACTTACAAACTTATAAATCATCACTATTATTAAAATGCAGAACTTCGCATTCCTATAACGCTATCAATGGACACCACACTTCGCTCTAAAATCACTATCCCAACGGTCATATCATAATATTTTTTTGTGTGGCAGGTTTGATCCATATCATTCGTGCCCTGTTGATTTCCGGGAAGGTGATCACAGACAAGCGACGTCAGCATTCTTGGCCGATCTAGTCCTCCATCGGTATGTCGACGCAACCCGAAAACAGTACCCCCCCAATGACATACGCGACGACATGCGAAGGGAGTTTGGCATTGCAATGTCATATAGGAAAGCACTACTCGTGAAACAGAGGGCATTGAACAAGTTGTATGGCTCGGACGAAGATTCCTACCATCTCTATGTTATATGCTGGAGACAAAGAACCCAGGCTCATCTATTCATTTGTCTACATCTGACGACCAGAGATTCAAATATTTGTTCTTCTCTTTAGCCCCGTGGAAACAAGCTTGGAATCATTGTGCCCCAGTTCTCGTTATTGACGGGACATTCATGAAATCCTATTACAAAGGAACACTACTTACTGCTTGCTCCCAGGATGCCAATAAACAGCTTGTCCCCATCGCCTTTGGTGTATGTGATGCAGAAGACAAGGACTCTTGGTTGTGGTTTCTTACTCATTTGAAAACCACACTGACCGCAAGGCATGATATGTATATTGTGTCTGACCGCCACGAGGGAATCATTCATGCAGTTCAGAACGTATTCCCGAATGTAGGTCATGGTTTTTGTACAGAACACATTGCCCGAAACCTTCGTGTCAAATTCAAAGGTCCTAAAGAAGACCTGACCTGGAAGTTTAGGAAAGCATCACGTGCAGCCACTGAGGCAGAGTGCGAGGAGTATCTTCAAATGTTGGATGAACAAGACCATAGAATACGTGCATACCTATCCAACATAGGTCAGCCGCGATGGGCACGTTGTAAAAGTGGGCCATACCGGTACTCCGTAATGACTTCAAACGCTGCAGAATCAATGAACAATGTCAACAACTCGGCACGCGAATACCCCATTTGCAAGCTAGTCGATTTCATTCGCGAAAGGATGCAGAAATGGTTTCATGAACAGTTTGAAACAGCTTCATCTACCACAACCATTCTACCAAGGAAGCTCGAGTCGGACCTAATTACACTACAACGTGAGGCATTCAGGATGAAGGTATACCTTCATAAAACACCTAAATAGTATACACATTTAATCAAAAAACTGCAGCAGTTTCATTCATTCCATGTAACGTTTCACGGTTAACAACCCTTATTGCAACAGGTTAAGCCAGCTTCCCCATACAAGTTTGAGGTTGTTGACAGGTGGTCCCGGGCTTACATTGTTAACCTCAGAGACAAGTCGTGTATATCTGGTGATTTTCAATTGGACCATTTTGTATGTGTCCACGCCGTAGCAGCAATTGGATCTCGTCCAGGCCTGTCATGTTACAATTTCATCTCAACTTACTACAAACGTGAATCATTGGTAGCCACCTACAGCGGTATTGTGCACCCAATAGGCAACCAATCTACCTGGTACATCCCTCCACCTGTCAAAGCCCTTGTTTGCAAGCCCCCATCATGCAACAAACGCCCACCTGGGAGGCCAAAGAAACGGAGGTTGCCATCCGTTGGTGAATTCCACTTGGGCAAAGGTTGGAAAAAACAAAAGTGCACCAGGTGCTTGAAGATGGGACACAATATAAAAACATGCAAAAATCCAATACCAACATGACAATGGCTGTTTTTTTTTGTTTTGCATGGATGCCTTGAATGCCAAATTTCCTTCCACTACCCATAACATAAATAGAACATTATTTAAATTACCATGAATGAGTACACAATTTTGTTTCTTGGTTCCATTGTGTTTTATTTCCCTAACCGGTACAATAAATAGGTTTGGTTTGACTATGCGTATGGAATGCATTGCCAACATACATAAAAAAAATTAATAGGAAGTAATACAACAAACACACCATACAACTGGAAGTCATACCTAAGTGACACATTCATGCCTCATACACTACCCTATACGGGGGAAGTGTAAAAATAACACACAACACACCTCACACACATAGCACCACTTTAAAAACCTTAAAACCACAAATAAAAATAAAACGCAACCAAAATCACAGGTGGAAAACCAGAAAAAGAATACTAATAATCTACTTCAATGTCATAATGCTGGCTGTGTATCCCAAATCAACCAATATTAGTATCCAAACAATCACATTTCCCTGTACTTCCAATCATACACTGCCGTTACATCACGAGAACCAAACAGACACTGCCGTTAGCCCACACCAATCAATCATACTGCCACAAAACCACAATCTCACAATGGCATTGAATACACTGGACTCATACACTACCCTATACGGGGGAAGCCTAAAATAAAAAATAACACACACCACAACACACACACAAAGCACCACTTAAACAACATAAAAACACTAGTAAAAAATACACCGCCGAAATCAGATGGGGAAAAGCTGAAATTTAATACTGATAACCTACTACAATGTCATAGTGCTGTCTGTGTAACCAAAATCAACCAATACCAGCAGCCAAACAAGCACATCTCCCTGAACTACCAATCATACACTGCAGTTAGCCCATTCCATTCAATCATACTGCCAAAAAACCAACAATCGCACAAAGGCAGCGAATACACAGGCGTCATACACTACCCTATACGGGGGAAGTGTAAAAATAACACTCAAGACAACACACAAACATATCAGCACTTACACAACCTAAAAACGCTAATAAAGAAAACACCGCCTAAATCACGTGGGAAAAACATGAAAATGAATACTGCCAAACAATATAAGCAGCAAAACAACCACATTTTCATGAACTTCCAAACAAACACTGTTGTTACTCCCACGAGTACCAAACAAACACTGCCATTAGGCCATTCCAAACATGCCATGTGCCAAAAAAACCACAAACACACAATGGCAGTGAATACACAGGTCACAAACCCCCCTCCCCCCAACAAAAAAAAACCAACCACGGAACACATTGCCAGTAAAGGAGCTAAAGCCCTAGACTGCCTAAAACAAAGTGCAACACTCAATAAAAAACAGAAATGGACCAACAAACCAAACGATAAACATGAACGAATAACAAATACCAATACTACAATCACACAATACCAAAACTAATGTAACAACCACACACAAACACCAACCATTTGTATACCATAACAAGGACAAGACATCAGACTATCTGTCTAAATAAATATCAAAATACAAAAAAACAACTAATCAAAACAACACAAATACCGTACCCATTCAACAAAAAACATCACACTTCAAATGTGGAGACACCACATACTACAAACTGCCCCATCCTCAAAAAAAACTGTCCACACCATGCAAAATCATTCCAAATAATTGCAGACGCTAAGGCTATTTGTCTCCGGCCTTCTCTTTCCGCTCTTTACTGTATACCATGAGCTCCGTAGTCATCTTAACCCGGTACCCCTCCATGTCGCGTGCATGAACTTCAGAAATATGTCTATCCATCATTAGATACTCTGCAAACTTCAACATAAACATCCCACAGTTACACCTGCAGTTTAAAACACCATACATAACATCATTGATCATCCGGCTATTTTCATTCAAATTGAAATGCAACTTCAGACGATATGTTACAAATGAAAATTTACCACATACCCGTCATCTTGTTGTGGACACTCATCAACGACCTTGATATTGAACTTCTTTTTCCCCATTGGGCCATCCGAGTGCTCATCACATACACTCAACAAATCAAGCAGGACAGGCAGCAACTCCGTGATACATTGCATGTATTCGTTCAATGCCCGGCAACTTTTTCCCTTCCTTCCTTTTGAATCGTATACCCGTATTGTCCTCCCTTCAACCTCTAGGACAAGCAACATCCAGTGGTCACTGGTATTTAGGGGCATATACACAAAATCACACTCATACCATGGCCTAGAATATTCCCGTGCCAACCCTAGCACCTCACTGCTTAGATTCCGTTTAGTGACACTCCTCCTTCTTGGCCTGGCCAACATTTACCATTGCTTGATGATAGTACAACCCTTGCAAGAAGTATGGGGATGTAGTTGTGTACATCTGCAGGAGGTTATACTGCCTACCCTTCACTTCCAGGAAATGCATTGCTATTTCAACATGCTGTATAAAAACACATCGCAAAAAAATCAGCACTCAAAAAAATACACAAACACACACAAACACATTGCCTAAAATCAGCACTCAAAAAAATACACAAACACACACAAACACACACAAACACAAAAAAATACACAAACACACACAAACACATGTCCTATCATTGGAATGGCATAAAATTCTACTACCCTCCTAGAATGTCCCTGACATTACAACAAACCACACACACCCCCCCCCCACAGATTATTTCACATACGGTCTCAGAATAAACAACCATGAAAAAACAAAATCTCAGTCATACCGTGCTGCGCAACCACTCTGTGTTTGTAAACAACTCATAGAGCCATGTTTTGTTCTCCACTTTAAAACCATCAAGCACAATTGGACATTTCGTCATGTTCTCCTCTTTACATGTATACCGACATGTGCTGTTCTTCCTTCCCTGTCTTTTCAGCAGTCCTTCATTCAAAAACTCTCTCACCTTTTGTATTTCCCCATACGCAGGCATCACCTTTGGATCTTTTGAAAAGGGCCCATGGCATACCTCCGACCTAACACGTTTCATTTGTAGCTTAGCACGGTCCATCCTCTCTAGCTTCCGCTTTTCCTTATCATGTTCGACTTCTGTGGGAGTATATCTCTCCGGATTGTTGTGAACCCTTTTAGGCCGATCAATCTCAACACATGCAGTAATGGAATCTAAACCCGTGGAAAACACCTGAACAAACAATCAAACCACACCCGTATCAGAATAAAAAAAACAGCAGATAGGACACTAAACACACTGCCATAACACCATTCTGCCACGTAATGAAATTCTTCATCCTAAATACACAAGAAAACGATCCCACTATTATTATTGCAAAAACACTAACCACCAAAGCATCGTGAGCAACATTCACTCCAAGATCCCCACTTCCCACCCGGCTGCTAGTAAAAATTCTTTCAAAATCATCGTCATCCAAGCTACGTCTACGTTTGCCTCCTTCAATGTGCTGCCCAAGTTTCCCTTTATTCGAACCACTTGACCCCTGTAAACATACAACGTCACATATAAAATCACACTAAAGGGAAATGCTATTGACCCTAAAACATCTTGGAAAAAAACTTAATCACTGGAAAGAGAAATTATTAGTCCCTACCCAGATATATGAAAAACAGAAAACTAACCCCAAATGCAGACTCAACATCCACTAGTACATGATCATCGCTTGGCATTGTAGTATTACCAGATATCTTGGCAGTATCATCACCACTAACACTTCTCTTGCGCCCACCCTGGATCGCATCCTGCCCAACAATCCCCTCGCAAGGAACCTTAGGACCCTGCTATTCCACACAATCATAAGGCCAAAATCATGATATTTAAAAAAATAACACTTCACATACATTAAAAAAACACATTACACTGCTTGCATTCTGTGAAGACTTTTTGAACATCTCTTCCTACCTGTCAATAAGTTCCAGGAAGCATGGATCATATTGTGTCTCAGTGAATGGGATATCTGGATACTTCCCCTCCTTTACAGGGTCACTGGCTTCTGTCACCGAAACATTTCCACTCTTGTCATTTTGAATTTCAACACCAACTTCATCCACTCTAGGCAATGGAGTTAAAAGATCAAATGATGGCCCCCATCATCACAACTCAAATCCAAATCACCCCCACATTTACCCTCGGCATCTGTATTTCCCTCAACAGTGATACCTTCATTCCGGACAATTGGTTCTTCATTACCTCCCATCAAAGACCCTTTCCCAGAGCTGGTTTCAACAGACGCTGTTTTTTGCCGTAGAATGCCCAATATTTCATCCAGTTTCTTATCCTGCGCATCCTGTTTTTCCTTGATCTCCTTGATTTCCTTCACCATATCCAAATGCTCGCTATCCGTATTTGCCACACACACCTTTTCCCCGTTAACCTTCAACACATTTCCAGATGCCTCCCCTGCAGTTTTCTCCCTAACAAACGCATCGCGTATATTCACCTGCCTTTCCTTAACCTTTTCGCAAACGCTTTGCCTAACAAACGCATCGCGTATATTCACCTGCCTTTCCTGCAATCCAGAACATCTAAAATCACCCCGAATGCCGAAGTCCTAAACCTGCCCAACTCCTCTTCAGTCAGCTTTGCCCTGATCTATCTAGCAACTTCATTCACATTGCAGTATGTATTTATCCTTCCATCGACCAAGCTGCCTCTCTCCAACCTCTGCACTTCCTACACAATGCAGAATAAAATCGTAAGCAGAACACACATGGATTTAAGCAAAAAAGGGATATGGTGTTGAGCTGTCTATATGAATAAGAAACCACCAACTGCCCAACGATAGAATTGATCTATCCAAACTAAACAAGATCAAAAACTGCCCACTGCCAAATATTAATAGACAACCCCACCATCCATTTAAAAAGGAAGTCAGTCAATAATTCCATGATTCCAAAAAAAACCTACACTCCCAACCTTTCAATGCCCCATACAATCAGAATTAAAAATAATTTAAAAAACTTCACAGAAATGAAATGTTAGCCCAGAGCTTCAATGCAATGTCTTCCGCGGAAAAACTGTTCCACTGCCACATGTACGAAAACACCACACTGTTTCATTCACAACCCTAAGTCAGCACCACCAAAACTTCCACAGCAAACCCAGTCAACCGTACAGAATATGTATTAAAATGTATAAATGGTGCTATTTCAGTGCTTTACCCTTTTTTTCTTATTTTTTCGTCATATGTGGCATTTGATTGTTGCTGAGGTTTTTTTTGCCCGGGATTCATTGTATTGCTGACTACATTTTTTTAGTGGGAGGTGGTGATGTTTGTTAGTATTTGGCAGTTGGTGTCCTTTTGATGTTTATGGGTTTTTTGATTTAATGATCAATGTCCTTGATTACGACTGTGTGTAGTCTCACCCCACATACATGCAAAGTGAGCCTAGAGCTTTAATTCAATGTTGCCCCCCAAAAACACACCTAACTGCCAAAAACCCCAAACAAAAAAACACTTACTCAATCACAACCCTAATACAGATCCACAAACACTTCCACAACAAACCACACAACCAAAACCAGACATGGCACAATGCACACCAACATACAAGAACACCCCTCATATTGCCACCCATACCCACAAAACAACACAAACACACGCTCTCCCACAAGCGACCCCCACCCAAAATATACTATATTCGAATTGCATAACACCAATATTCTACACACCCATTAAACCTAAACATGAAAACACATAAACAAGTTCACACACCTACTACACACAGCCGAATACCCATCCCATAGCACACTGCCAGAAACATAACAAAGTTCGCCCAAATTACAAACCAATAAAACCCCCAAACACTAAATCACTAGAACAAAACCCCCACCATCTAACATTCACATTACCAACCAAAAAAAAATTTAAAACAAAAAATGACCCATTTCATAACACACTGCCACAAAACCACACAAATTAATATAAAAAAAATTCAAAATGCAACATCAACAACTCTGTAGGCCTAACACAGCCATGCATAATACCAAAATGCACTCCATTCAAATTACAATTGCATAAACGCTCTAACACATCTAACCTGAGCCTTTTCCATCCTCTTGATCAACAAAATTTCATCAAGCGCTTCGTCCTCTGACAACGTTTGCTCAATGTTACGCAAGACTTCCTCTTTCGCCATCGCAATCCTCACACTGCGTCTTCGAATCAGAGTATTTCTTTCATGTTTCGCAACATCCGTAGTCTTCATGACTCTAGATTCTAATACTTGGGAAGTGCGAATCAAGCGGCTGATTATCCGGCCTCAATAATCGGGAAGCATGCAGCAGCAGTGTATAATTGCAAATCTTACGCCTGATTACCCGACCTAAAGAATCGGAACATCCACTGCCAGGTTCAACCAAAGTCTCCACCGTTTAAAACCACAGGGACAGAAACGGGACTTCATTTTAATTAGTGTTTTTGGGTTACCATAAGTCTAGATTGTTTTTATCTATTTCTCATAGAAGAGAGATTTTTTAAATAAAAATTATAGGTACGAGTCAAGAATTGAGACGTAGGGAGTGAAAATTTATCCATAGATGAATCATCTTAAAAATTAAAATGAGACGTGAGAAGTTTTAATTTGTTATATGGAAAATGAAAATCCTTTAAAGGATTTTCATTTTTCATATAAGAAACATTAGAACATTAGAATGTTCATTCTAATGTTGTTGAAAAGAACAGCATTAATTGGAACATCATTATTAGAGACATAATTTACTTATAATGAGTGGGGTTAAAAAATTTAGACTAGAAGATTAATAGACTAGAAAATTAATAAGTCACATATAATTTTGTTCTTCATTGTATAAATTCTTGTCTTAAAAAACTCATTATACTTTTAAACATTGCATTTTTTGTATTATCAAGTCATACTTGGTAGTATCTAATCTAAAACTCCATTTTTGATCTTAAAACATTATGCTCATGGTTCATCCATGATTATTTCAACACTTTTAATCTTCCACAAAACATACAACTAAAGACACTACTTCATTGTTGGAATTAGAAAAAGATGTAAAATTTGAAACTACACTATGCTAACATTATTCACTCTAAAAGTTTAATTTTATACAATGTCTTGTTAATATGCATGGGTATAAAATTCAAACTAAAAAACCCATCATGCTGACATGGGCATTATTGGATATGTATGAAATTTGATATCAAAGTCCATACATGCAAAAATCATGTCATTCATTAGATTACCTTATTATAAATTTAGAATATATCAACTATGTCGATGAACTTTAAATGTCTTATACACCTTAATGTTATTCCCAATATTTTTAGAATTATTGTTAAGTAAACCTTGATCGGGCACTACAATCTGTGCAACGCGCATAAATATGCTAGTGTGTGTGTGTGTGTATAGTGTGTGTGTGTGTATATATATATATATATATATATATATATATATATATATATATATATATATATATATATATATATATATATTTAACCGGTCAACAACTTTTTTCTTTACTCAATTTTTATAATAATTTGTTAACATAGATAGTCATGCCACATCTTACTTTATAGAGTATTCAATGTAGATTTTTTTTTTTTAAATAATGCAGCTTATTTATACAACTATGGGGTGGGCCGCCCACAATTAGGCCCAAAATAATTTGTTCACAATAGGAAACAAATACAAGTCAACAAGAAAAGCTCCATTTTCCAGATGTAGTCAGCTTTCTTCCTTCTCCCTCCTGCGTGTGTGTTTAGGTGATGCACAACAATTGCATATTCTCTCCTTTTCTTCGGCTCATATTGCAGCGAGAGGGTAGTTATATATATATATATATATATATATATATATATATATATATATATATATATATATATATATATATATATATATATATATATATATATATATATATATATATATATATATATATATATATATATATATATATATATATATATACACATATATATATATACATACTAGCATTTCTCCACGCGATGCGTGGTTTATAGTGCCCGATATTATGTTTTAATAAATTAGTATTATGATTTTCCTGGTAAAAGAAATATGGGTTGAGTATTGGAGAGAGGATAGTGTAACAAATATACGGAGTAAAAGAGAGAAAAGGTTTAAATTTAAAATAATGCAAAGCATACATAGTTATGATGAGTGGTAATTGCAAGTTGAAAAGAAATTAGTACTTGTGCATATTATGTGTACACGGGATATAGTGAACACAACTCAAAATTATTGAAATGTATGTTTAGAGTCGGTGTTTAGAATTGAGAGTTTGTTTTTTTGTTGCCAAGAAATTGGTCTGAAAAGTACTGATAAATAATATAACATCCCCACTACTACTATTGTTAAAGAATAATGGTGGAGAGTTTGAAGTGAGAAGTTATTAATGTTAAGCACTTATTTGGATTGAAAGAAGTTTTATTCAGAAGATTAATGGATTCACTTAAAAGTTCCTCAAAAATGATGTTAGAAATTGTCGTAGGATGAGTTGTACGTATGGTTTTTTTTAAATTTTTTTATTTAGTGATGGTGGTGGGAAGAAATAACATGCATTTAAATTTTTTGAAAATAGTTGTAATTTAATCAAACAGTATGAGTTTGATTTTTGGTTTCAAAATGGATATAAGCCTTGGATATGAGTGTACTCAAGTGTAGTTAAGTGTACCTTTGTTTCACTTACTCCTACGGGTACATAAGTGTACAGGTTGTATTTCAACCAAAGTGAATTTGTTGTTCTTGTTATAAGAATTAGTGGATAGATGATGAAAGGAAATGGAGAAGTGAAACAAATATAAAAGAGAGAAATGGAAGAAAATTTAAAAGAAGTGAATCCATAGATATTAATGATGAGTGAAAATCCCATTGTAATATTGAATTTCAACTTGTGCATGTTAGTGTACATAAGAAAAAATTATCAAGAGTTAAAAAAATTTCATTGTACATTTTGTTGCTCTTTCTTTATAAGAAACTGCACTTTACGCGGCCTTCAGGTTCTTATATTACTACATCAGCAACATTGAAAATCTAGTTTGGCCATTAGTAAAGAATTGGTGTTTGACTCCGAACATCATGTTTTTATTTTCCTGCATCATCAACATTGCAATAATCAATTCACAACATGACATTTGGAGATGTGCCTAATGCTAGAAAAGCTGAAGTATAAATTATGCAATAGGATTGAATTCCAGTTTTTGTAGTTGGGTTTAGAGTTCTTAACTTTTGAAAGTAAAGGTTTGTCAAAATACACAAAGACCTTAAAGGTTAAGGATCGCTTAGAATGGGACATGTAACTGACCACCCCACTGCACCTAGACTTTGAAAATATGTGGGTTGGTATATGTAAATCGAACACGCTTAAGTTATTATTTGTGAATGGTATTATTTAAAAATCATGAATGTGATAAAAAGAGATTATTTTATTAGAGGTTTACTCTTTTTTTTGTGGATGGGAAAAAGTTTAGAAATGATAATGTTTCATTGGGATGGACTAATTATTTCTAAATAGATACGGGTGAACCACTATTAGTGTTTGGAATTGTTTAAAATACATATTGTTGAAAGATTTAAAAATAGTAAAAGGGATTTAGACGTAAGCAACACACCAACCAATTAACTTACCTACCTTTCCTTTTTTCATGGTGGGAATTCTTTGATGTTGTACCTGGAATTGTTCATTTTCCAACATCTTGTCCATTAGTAACTTGAAAAGCAAATTGGCGCATTTGGGAGGTAGTGATGAACCTGAATTACTCTTCCTTTATTTAGTAGTCCACTTTAACTAAAGGTCTCATTTTTTGAAGGGAGAGAAATACCGCTATGAGTTCAACATTGTCGAATGGAGTGCCACTGCGAAGCTTATAATTTGGACCACCAGGCCTAAAAGAATCAGCAACAGTGCATTGACCTATTTGAAATGCCACAATATGTAAATATGTATTAAAAGATTGTATATATGACTTTAAGTCACCTCGAGATTCAAGACCAACAATTCTTAGTGGTGTTTGACATGGGAAATATAGGTGGTTTAGTGGTTTGTGATTCTTGTGTGGGCTTAAGCATCTATTTGTATATGTAACAAATAGTAACATTATGATTAGATTGCAGCAGATCATAGGAACCAATCTTTTGTTAGGGGCATATCCATCAAAAAGAGGAAACCCAATAGTTGTACATGGTGGAAGAAGGCGTGAAAGTAATCAAGACACACCTCTTCATTGAAGACACCACCAAGAGCGGAGAAACCAGGTATGTTTGTTCAGGTAGAAACCCATCTCATGCTATGTTTGTTCAGGTAGTAAATTTTTTTTGTTAAAGTGTCTGTGTTATGAATTGAAGTATAGGTTTTAACCACAAAGGACATGAAGTATGCTTGGAGAATGGTGACACATAGTATACATACTCAACTATGATTTTAAAGGGTGAAATGATATACGGTCTTATACAAATTATAGCATGCAGACCAAATTCCAAAATATATTTATGAAGTGTAATGCAGACCTAAAGCGGCATAACCACACAGGATAAGGAAAAAGCAATTATAAAGTGGTAAACCAGGTAGAGCATGCAGACAAAAAAACCAGTCCCAGACAGCATGACCAAATCCCAGATAGTAATCCCTAATTCCCTAACCCAAAAATGCATCCATACTCACACCTAAAAATTCCAAACCCAACCTGTAGTCTAACCCAAAACCAACCCGAAAAACCAATTTGAAAAACCATTGCCATACACAAAAGTGAAGTCCCATTGATGGATTCGTAAAAGCAGGTTACATTTTGCACTAAATGCATTGAGGAAATAATGTTTCACAGAATTGATGGATGGGATTTGTTAGACAAAGATATTTGTTTACTATAGTGTGTAAATTAAATTGTGCTTTAATAATCTTCTTTCTTATAGTGTAATATATGAAATTATAGTGAATGATGATTAGTAATTATATGTAAGATTCATTCAAAACACATGCCACGAAATATGAAGTTTTGTATTATGAGTATTTAAAAAAAGCATTAGAAGTAGTCTATTAAATATTTTTAAAATGCATTTAAAGAGATGTACTAAATGTTTAATGATTGATAAACGCATAAAACACACCAGCAATCAAATAAAATGCCAAAACCAATCCGAAAATGATGTGTGATCCTTAAGGCTAGAAACAAAATTCCAAATTTCCAACCCAAGAATTAGATGTTATGCTATGTTTGTTCATGTACATTAATTTTGTGTTGAATTGTCTATGTTATCATTTAAACTATACTACCTCCGTCCCGCTATATTTTTCCACGTTTGACTTTTGGAATTGTTAATCTAAGCACTTTGACTCATCAAATTCTCTCAATGTGTAAGCTTAAATATAGTCATGTGTGATCTTTTTTGATTTGTCTTAACATATAAATTATTAATATATAATTTCTATAATTTTTTAATATACAAATTACAAGATAAAATGGATTAAAAAAGTGTATTGGATGGTGTGTAAAAATGAAAGTGGACAAATACTCTGGGACAGAGGGAGTAATTTATAACTACAAATGACATGAACTACCCTTGGAGAGTGGTGATACTTAGCATACATAGTGATTTATAGCAAGATGGCCAAATTCCAAAAAACCAATTATAAAAACCAGCTCAAATAGGATAACAATACACATGCACTCCCAAGCACCTTAACCAAACATCATTACAAAGAACCAATTATAAAGGGTAAAACTAATTATAGTATGCAGGTGGCAAAACCAGTCCCAAAGACCATAACATAATCCCACATAGTAAATTCCAATTCCCTGACCCAAAACTTACCCAAATTTCCATCCGCATTGATTTTATAGTCCCTACCAAATCTGTGTTTTTTTAGACATCTGCGTCATTTTTTTTCTGTAATCATGTAAAGTACAGTTTTTATTAACCACAAATAACATGAATTATGCTTGGAGAATGGTGACACTTAGCATACATACTGAAGTATGATCGTAATAGGTGAAATGATATGAGGTCTAGAACGAATTATAGCATGCAGACGAGATTCCAAAATCAAATTATAAAGTGTAATGCCGACCCAAAAACCAGCCGCAAACAACATAACCCAAAACATGTAGTCCCAAGCAGCATAACCAAGCAGCATAAGCAAAAAACCAATTATAAACTGTAAAACTAATTTTAGCATGCAGACCCAAAAACGAACTCCAAACAGCATAACCAAATCCCAGAGTGTAAACCCCAATTCCCTGAGCCAAATACTAACCCAAAATCTCACTCAAATACTCAAAACCCAATCTAGAGTCTACTCTAAAACCAACCCCGAAAAGCAAAAAGAATAAGCAGTCCCATACAGAAACCTGAAAACCCATTCATGGAGTAGAAATAGTAGTCTGCATTTTGTACTAAATTGGTTTTTGAAATAAAGTCTTGCATCATTGATGTATGTGTTTGGTTAGACAAAGATATTCCTTTACTACAGTGTGTGAAATAATGTGTGCTTTAATAACCTTCTTTCTTATGTATCTTAAGTAAAACGATGTAAACATTCTAACCAGTAAGAGGTCTGAACCATTAAGAGCTAGTATATTGCTTAACTATTCAGAGGCAAATATTTGATCAATTCAGATAAGAGCTCTTAACCATTCAGACTCTGTATAATACTTAACCATTCAGAGGCAAATCTCTTAACCATTCAGACATCTAAACCATTAAGAGGCTGAAACAAACAGTCTGAACCATTAAGTGCTGAATCATTCAGACATCTGAACCATTAAGAGGCTGAAACAAACAGCCCCTAAATAAGGAAATTTTGAAACCATTAGTAATACAACTTATTTTTTTGTGTTAGTTGTGGTAGTGTAATATATGAAATTAAAGTGAATGATGATTAGTAATTATATATTACATTCATTCAAAACACATAAGGCAGTAAATATGAACCTTTGTATTATGACAATTTTAAAACACCATAAAAAGTAGTCTACTAAATCTTTTTAAAAATCAATATAAATTAATCTACTAAATCTTTAACAAATGATGAACATATAAAACACACCACCAATCCAACAAAGCTCCCAAACCCCAATAAATATTGATTTAAAGGAGGGAGTCATGATGAATAGTTAAGGAGTTAAACTGAAAGAAGGGTGTATCTGATATTACTTGTGGCGTGTCACAAAGTTCCTATCAAGAGCAGCCCACAAACTTCCTATGAAGAGCAGTGGAAAATTGGATTAGTGACTATCAGTAATGTACTGCCAAGCCCTTCATTTAGAATTTGACTTCATATGAAGGGTATAAGATGTGATGTTGAATTCAGAGAACTAAATAGACACAAAACGGAGAGAAGTAAATACACATAACATTGGACATGTAAATTATGGGTTTTTGGTTTAAGTATTATTGTCTAAAGGTTGTGTGTTATGTAAATTACCAATGAAAAAGTCATGGGTGTATGGTTTTATAGGCAGGTGTTAGGTTCTTTAAATGTAATAATACACAGCATTAAATACGTTTGCAAGATTTTAAATTCAGGAAATATAAACCTCACATTTAAGTAGAGTAAATGTGGGTAATATAGGTGTAATGTTGCAATGATTGCAAGGATTTATTTTCAATAAAAATATGCAGAAATGTGGATTTTTATTTTTTTTGAATTTGAGTTTAGAAAAAAATAAAGAATGGGAAAGAAATTTAAATTTTAAAGTTTAGATTTAAAATTTAAAATTCAACAATGAATGTGAAACTTGATAGTGATAATAATTTTAAAATTTAGATTTGAATTTGAAATCAAATGCAATAATTCTAACCTCATTGGAACAGTGAAGACTCTTCTCCAATGCAAGGTTTCCCCTTTCGAGTTTCTGACCAAACATCTGTCCATACCACCTTCTCTGCACTCCACCTTGGCCGGAGTAAATTAGCACCTCCCCATCATCCCCTTCATCATCATACCCTCCAGATGATACTATGCTTACAGAAATGGGGTCATCAACTTCAATCCCAAGCACATTACTGACCCTCTTTGTCTGATTCGTCCAAATCCCTTTTGTCATCAGCATTGTTCCAGCCTTCAGGTCCAGGCGCCTGACAGATCCTGGAAATGGATCACTCATCTCTTGAATTTGGGACATTTTTCTTCGTAACAAATCATAAGCCAACAATATGCGCCCAACAAGGTCCTTGTCACCGTCGGTTTTTTTGGATGATTCTACCTCGGTGAGTGTAAACGATTCAAGAAAACTTTGTAAAATTGATTCGTAATCCACCTCAACCAGAGGTTTCCCTTGATGGCCATGCATCTTTGTCTTTTTCCACGGTCATCCCTTTCTCTTCTTAGTGCTGGAGTGTTCAACGCTGTTATCATGAATGCCATAGCCATACTGATCACTTTGGTCACTATACTCATCATCTTCTGCAACAATTCCACTGGACCTCCTTGGTCTCCCAGAATCTCCATTTGACATTGGAGTACTGAACGAGTTTAATGGAACAGGAGGTATAGCCTGAGTGTATCCTGATAGAGGCTGTTCAGTTCGTCTGCTTGAAATATTGGGAGCCAGAAATGGGTAAAAGGGGAACTCCGGGATGGAAAGGACCAACTGGAGGAACACATGTGAAGGGTGCCAGTTGGGCAGTGGCTGCAGATGACATCCCGTTTGCTGATGGAAAGACTGGATTTAAGCTCCTCATGGGCTTAATATCCAATATCTTTGACTTATCAATCGAATCCTTTGGGGAACTGAGTTTGAAGGTGTACCTATTTCCATCATGACAATCTTAGCAACCAGAATGTAAAGTAACAAAATTGGCTCAAAACAGCCCACCGCAGCGCAAAGTTTCACCTTTTTTGGACTCTTAATCTCTGCACAGACCAAATTATAGGAAGAGAAAATCTGCCAACACGAAAAAGAATCAAATAGTTCCTGTAAAAACATCCATAATAAATCCATACAAGTTTTGCCACATACAGAGATAAGCACACATAAACTGAAAACAAAACAGTCACCTGGTAGCATCTTATGAATTACCATGTGTAATTTGGAAAGAGATCAGACATTAATTTTTATGTCAAGGTAGAATTAAAAGCTAGAAATTAGTCACTTTCACATGGCAAATCCCAGGTAAATAGTGTTTAAATCATAATTTTCAGTTATGATGCTTTGGACAAAAGAAGAGAGATGCAGATCAGTATCTTATATATTTGGTTGCTGGAGTAAAGACACCTTTGAGTAAGAAGGAACAACAAAACGTTGACCAATGACAACCTGAAAGGCATAAAGTTGTTTGCTACACCATTAAATTTGAGAAAGATTGACATCCACAAAGTTCAAATGTGGCATAATGTGATGGGTGGAAGACTAACTGGAAGGACAATATAGCACCAGGTTTCTAAAATGCACCAGACCTCAATACTAGACCATCACATACTAATGCGTGCTTCACTTGACACTCATCTTCTACTGTGACATTTTGCCATATGTAGCAACCTTCTATTGAAACATTTGATCCAATCTTACAACCCTCTCCAACAACTAAACTTGAAATTACACTGTTGTTTCTAATAGTAGTGCCCTTCCTAATAAGGATAAAAGGGCGAATTTGTGCAGAACGTGACTGTACAATATCTGAAAAAATACGATGAGATCTATCAATGTAAAACGCTCAGCGTACACGTATTGCATTTTAAACTTAAAATGCAAAATGAAATTACTCGGCTGGCATAGCAGTGTTCATACAAACTATCTCAAAACGTCATTAAAGCTTTAAATCGAGGTAGAGGGGAAGAGAACTTATAATGCCATGAGTAGGCACAGAAATTGAGACGGTGCAAGGAATTGAAGGTATATAGATTGCCAATGCAATACTAACAGAAGTACTAATCAAATATATTTTCAGAACTTCTATTTTATCCGATATTCAAACCTGATGCGGGATACATTCCACGCCTTTCAAGTTTAGAAGCAGAATTTCCAAAGAAAGGGACATCAGGCACCAATGGATAGGTCCATCTCTGAATAATATCTTTGCTAATTGTGTCATAGCTTCAGTAATTCTCAATCCTTGCCGCATAACTTGAATGAATTTCGTAAGTGTAAATCTTGTAACCCATAATCTGTAAGTTAAAGGATAAACTAAAACAATCAGATACAGTGAGAGATTAAAGACACTTAAGTGCATAAATATGACATTCGAAAAATAAAAATTTTAAAAATAGCTTCTGCTTTATTTGTCAGATCACGACAGAAACAATCAATAAACAGATCAGATCGGAAAATGAACTATCAATAAAGAGATGAGATGCATATAAGTGCTCTAATTCATTTGGTTTTATAATTTTACACCATTAAATTGTTGTAAGAATATCATTCCTAATAAATAAGTAAACTTATTAAGCGCATATCAGCCCATCCCTACACAAGAATAAAGAAACATGACACCATGTGAATTGGGATATATAAACAAAGTTTAAAAAAGGATTACAAGACACCTCGACTCAAACACAGAAATAGAGACAAAAGAAACAGACTATCATAAACAAAGGCAAGGAGACATGAAGCACATATACCTACACTAACAATTTGTTTTTTTTCTTTATCCAAACCAGATTGTCTGTGGCTAAATAGTTCAGAAATATTTTGGTAACAATAAGAAGAAAAAAACAGATGTAGTTTGCTAGACATCCCTCTTCTTCCTTAAGAACAAATCTCAATTTATTCTTTTGTGACTTCCGAGACACTTCGTGTAAGAATCTAACTTAAAAGAGGTATTCTACTGGTCGTATAACAAGTGTTACCAAAATGTGTAATTCAAAGTTTGTATACTCCGGACTTCAATGGTGTTATTCTCTTCAGCTTTTATTTAATATATTAATCCCGCAATGCCACTATTTTTGGGACATGAGTGAGCATAAAAAAATAAGAAAACATTATGTGGTTAATCGAGAAAAAATGAAGATGAAGCACCCATATATGACCAAATATGCATGTAGGAAAAAATTTTGGATGCACAAAAAATTTATTATTACCTTTGACATGTGTTGTACACACAAAGGAAGTAATGAATTTCTTCCATGTTTAACAGCATAAACATAAGCTGACACTGAATACGCATCTGAATTTGATCATTCTTTAGTACATGTATTCTCTTACTGCTTTAATACAAGAAAGAGAGAAGAAGAGATGAACAAGTGAAGAAAGTGAGGATTTTGAGAAGGGAAGAAAAGAGAGGGAAAATGGGATTTTATGAAGGGAAGAAGAGATAATCAACAGGGTAAAAAAATCTCCTGACTTTAAAAGCGGGAGTCATTTTCTATATAATAGACCAGATTTTCCTTTTGACAGAAATCATTTTCCTCCATTCAAAAGGACCCTTATAGATAATGTAATCTAGGCATATCAATTTATTAAGTCAAGGTATAAACTATACCAATTGTAAGAGTGTTTGTTATTTTCAAGAGGAGTAATTGGAGCACATGCATTTCTTTGCTAACAAATAATCCTAAATAATCAAACTACTGAGCAGTTTATGTCAACAGCAGCCAATAGTTGCCTCAAGTGTGAAATACATAGGATTAAAAATAAAAGTTGTGCATATAATTTTAGTTGTTACACTGTGAAAATAATGCATATAATTTAAATTACCTGAAGAATGATTCTCCAAGCTGTTGCAGGTTTGGCCGTACCTGTAGGTGAAAAATAATCCTTCTTGACTTGCAATAATAGAAACAAGGAACAAAAATAAGAACAAGCCAAATAACTCATAAGATTATTATACATAAGAGGAATCTTAGAGAGGGTGCCTCGTCCCATCTCCCAAAATTGAATATAAATAGCTCCTTTAGAATTCTCTGAAAAATGAACGTCTTTGCTGAAATAATTGGGCGGGGGTTATTAAGGGAAGGGACCATAGATAGAAGAAGAGGAATCAGGAAAAACGTTTCATTCATACCTGCAAATCTGCATACTTGCTATAATTAGTTTGTTATTACAATTTTGTTTGCTGACTTCCTGATGCATCGCCAGGAATTCCGTAAATCCAAGGTTGATTATGCTGGCAATTCCAATCGCACAACGATTCTAATCGATTGCTGAGGGACAGGCGGCAATTACACTTACTTCGTCGGGGAGACGAGGTGCTGGACAAGAGGAAGAGAATTGACGCGGATGATAGTCACCCTAATACAGAGGAAGAACGAACGCCGTAAGGGTAGTTTGCCACTGGAAAAGCTGCGTACAACATAACATAAGAACGTATGGGTACATGTGTTTTTGGACGGAAAAACTACAAATTAATTTGAGGGTACCTAACCCTTGTAGACATTTATTTATAAGAGAGATATGTAAGATGTAAGATATATATATATATATATATATATATATATATATAGATGGCTAGGTTTCTTGAGCGAGAAAGCCCTGGCGGATTTATCTATCACCGCCACGCCAATGGGGATTATCGCCGGCCAGATTTCAGGCATCTTAGCAATTCTTACACAGATTATTCTCGCCGGCATCATGGTTCTTCTTCCAAAGCTTACCAGAGAACTCGATTCGTCACACATCACAAAAACCAGAAGGCATGTCACCACTTCAGGAGGTCGATGCTTCGCCGTCGAGACACTAGATGGCCGTTCAAATCTCCAAAAGTTAAACACTTGAAGAACTCATATGTGCTTGCACACCAGAGAGTCGTTTTACAGGGTCAGAGCAAGAAAGCCCGTTTTACAGGGTCAGAACATCCGTTTTAGATTCAGAATTCTAAATAAGGTATTTGAGCTTTTTTACTTGGTCTACAATAAGACTTTTAGCGTTACAGATAGGGGGAGAAGATACTTTCATATATGGTTTGATCTAGATTCAATCAATTGGGTTATAGAAACTCTTCCTAGATTGATTTCGGGTTCGGTTTGAGCTTGTGTTAAACTGGATGTTCAAAGATCACTAGAAGCTGCAATTGATTCAAATCATAGAGGGGATTTTATAAGGATTTTGGAATCTAGAAATGAAGGAAATAGATTCATTGGGAGTTGATAATGAGGGACCTCAATTATTTTTTAAGGCTCTTTCGACCTTTGTTGAAAGAGCACTGCAGTGTGGCAAGGTTAGGGGCAATGAGATTGAAACAACAAAACCAAGTGATATCCTTGAAGTTGCAGTTGTAGGGGAGACTGTGGTTGATGCTCATAAAAGTCCCTCTCTTGATTCTAAGGACAGGATTGAACATGATGCAAAGCAATTGCATTATAGCTTACTTCTGAACACACACAATGGAGAAGCACCTTCTGAAATATCTTCTGATCCCCATTTTAGCATCCTGCCCAGACCAGATCCTTCACAAGAGGAGTTAGAGTCAATTCAAATTGGCGATCTTAATCTTGATAAGCAGGAGCTTAGTCTTGATTTGGGTTCTTCTTTGGTTGAATCTGATAAGCTGGAGGGGAACACTCCTACAGAGGAGGCTTCCCAACGATACAATATTCAATACCCCGCACTTCCAAGAGTGATTTTATCCCCATGCCTCGGGAATAATAGCTCACTCAAGGATGTGGAATTTGACAAGATTGATGATAGGAACAAGGTACTCTGCAACAATGCATTAGAAGAAATTAGGGATGAAAGAGATGGGCCAATTTTGTACACGCACTCGGAAGGAGAAGACAAGGCCTTCAATGAAAACATTCTTAAACCTCTACAAATAGATTACTCTAGGATGTTCAAAACACCTTTTGACTTGGGAAGAGATTACAAGGGAAGGCGCATCTACTCTCCTTCGCAAATAGTTAACAGAAGTAGGGCTAAGCTTTTAAAAGAAGGAAGAAAGAAAACCCCTATTGGGTGGGAGGAAGGGTCAGACTCTTCAGAGGTTCCCTATGCAGATGACATTAGAAATTTCATCAAGCTTTGTTGTCCAAATAAGCCAGAAAAACCTCTTCAGAAGCAATCTTCGAATAAACCTTTAACCAAAAGCCAAAAGAAAAAGTCTAAGAAGAGACTTAAGAAAAAGAAGGGTTCAGGGCTTGAAATGGTAGAATCAAATTAATCAAGCTGGTCTCTTATAGTTTCTTGGGGTCATATACTACTTTTGGAATCTGTGTTATAGCCGGGTTACTTTACCCATATGGTGCTTTTCTCTTCACTGAGCTTAAACCTGGATATAATTTGAGGTTATTCTGCCCCTTCTAGCCATAAGGAACTTATTTTGGGAGATGGTTGGTATTAGGTTTGTGTACATATGTCGTCTTGCAGTAGTCCAAAGGGACTCAGCTACTTCACTGCAATTTTTCAAAGGTATCCACTCGTAGCATCCTTACAGCCATGATTCATTTGTTCCCTTTGGATAATATTCCAGGTTTTGAGATCGATGAGCAGTTTAGTGTTTAGGAACTTCAAGTTGAGATCTTTACCTCTTGGACACTAGCTAGAAAGGGTTGCAGATATTCGTTGGGATATTGTACTCTTTTGGTTGTTTTGTTTTAGTGCTTAGTTTTGATGCTTTGGCCATTTTGTTGGGGATGGGCCACCCCCACCTTTTGTATTTCTCTTTTCCTTAATAAAATTTCCTTTAATATATATATATATATATATTTAAATAAAAGGGGGTTTTTATTGATTGATTATCGCAAAAAAGGTAAAGATACATCAGCCTTGATGGCTCCCTGAGCATGTTGTGGAATAGTGTTAAGGGAAATACACGGACTAAAAAAATTGTGTCTGCCGGCCCATTTAGCCAGGTAGTGGGCTCCCATGTTTCCCTCGCGGTAAACGTGGTGTAGTTTGTGTCCTTCTTGCGTAAAGGCTCGATGGATGGTAAGCCATAAGTCATCTTCAATTCCCGGGTTTGTGCTCCTAGAGATTGATTTTGATAGAGTTTCAGAGTCCGTGTTGGCCCAAATGTGATTACCAAAATACCTCGCCCACTTAAGCCCAAATGCCAACGCCTTTGCTTCTCCTTGTAGAGCGTTGGTATCATTGATCTTCCAAGTTCCTGCAGCGATGAATTTCCCATTCCAAGCGCGAAGAGTTGCGCTCCCAACAGCGTAAGACGAATTGATTGCTACGTCTGTAGAAAGGTGTAGCGCATTGTCTTCAGTGCTCCTCCAACGGTGAATTTTGGGTCTGGGGTACCCTTGATTCAGAGAGAGCAGTTCTGTTGGTAGGCGCCAAGCTCCAAAGGTTTTAATTTTAGAGGGAGCCCTACCTAGGATCCAGTCTTGAAGTTGCCCAATGCACTGTTGAAGTAGTCTCCATGGCTCTTTGCTGCTGCCATTATGTATTCGTTGGTTCCTTTCCTTCCAAATTTGGTGTACTATGCTTCCAGGTATAATTCCTTTTATCCATCCTTCAAGTGTTTTGGTATGGCATTCTTGCCACCATTTGTGTAGGTAGGATCTTACCCCATGTGTTGCCTGGAATCTTGAAGATCCATTCGAAGTAGGACCATATAGACTTAGCGTAGGAGCACTGGAATAATGTGTGAAAAGCTGAGTCATTGTCCTTTCTGCATAGAGGGCACTGGGATGGCATGTTGATCCCAAATTTCTTCAGTTGTATTGGAAAAGGTAGCATGTTGAAGTATAGCCGCCACTGAAAGAAGGAAATTTTGGGAATTTGCTTCATTTCCCAGATGATGTCCATATGTTGAACTGTCTCTACTTCTACATGCGCTTGGATAGTCTGGTAGGCTTCCTTTAGGGAAAGTTGTTGATTCCTGAAAAAATCCTCTACATAGTTTCCTTCATATATATATATATATATATATATATATATTTATATATGAAAATGGTTCTAGAGAGAAGAGAGAGATTTCCGGCAACGGTGCCGGAAAAACCTCAGGCAGGTCCTAATCATAATACACAATACAAACCATTCATCAAACACTTCAGTGATTTATTCAAAGCTACAAATACTTCAGCAGTGGGTACTAAATCAGGTTTCTACAACGGCACACCATCAGTCAGTTTTACAAAAGAAGAAGAGGATATGTTGGAGAAAATCGAAGTAGTGCGACGACACCCGTCTAAGTTATCGATGTAAGTAGATGGTCAGGAGTTCCTCAAGGATAACTTTCGACCGAAGGTATTGAAATCCTAGTCTTCTTATAGAAGTCGTCTGTATAACAAGTGGAAGTTTCTTCTTTTTCTAATACAGTCTAAGTAAGTTTCTCCGTTGACCATACAGTTATTTTGAGTAAACTACGTGTTTAAATGGACACCTAATTATAGTGGAAGGGAGGACAGTCCTATTCTCCCTATCTGGGTTACCTTAGACAATCTGCCTCTACATTTCATTGACTTCCAAGCCCTTTTCACCATCTCATCTCTGCTGGGAAAACCTATTAAGGTGGATGATCACACCATTAATAGAGATAGGAGGGAGCAATCCAGAATTTGTATTGAGATGGATATTTCACATCCCCCTCCCCCCAAAATTCATATAAGAGCAGGTGGAAATAACCTCTTTGTCAATTGTATCTATGGTAGAATCCCTCCATTCTGTAATCATTGTAAAAAACTTGGTCACAAAGAGGGTGTCTCCTGCCCCAACCATAATCAGAAAGTCACCGGAAATACCTCCTCCGGCAAGGGAAAAGAGGTTCTACAATCAGAGCATTTTCAGTCCTGGATAGAAATCAAAAAGAAAAGGACACACAAATCTAATAATGATGCTCAGACTGCCACCACGAAAGAGAAGTCACGACCCACTTACCACTGGAAGGCCAAGGATAAAATAACAAACTACTTTACTCCACACATCCTTGATCTATTGGATATGCAGGAGAACTCCATGGACCCACTACCATCCTTTAGCCAGTTGGACCTGGTAACACAAGAGCTGTCAGTCCCCACACCTATGCATTATAAAGAGAATGATTTCCACTTTCCAACTCTTTCAGAGGCAAAGGAATATGTGGCAAAAACAACCAGACAAATACCCCTCTCTCCCACAGCTTTATCTCTCTCCGATTTTTCATCAAAGGAAAATCCACTCAATATTATTAGCTTTAAAGGATCCTTGGATGACTGCCTACACAATATTGACCCTGACTTGGGTCTTAACCCACCTGGTAAGGGGGTGGGACCATCTAATACCTCCTATTTGGACCCAGGAGAATATGGAACTCACTCAGATGATGGTGAATTTGAGGAAATCAGGGATACCTCCTCAATTGAGCCTGTTAACTTCAGAACCCCATCAAAGGATTCCTCATCATTATCCATCCCAAAGGCAAAGAAGAAAAAACAATATGATTCTCACAAAACAATTTTCACTAGGAGTCTCAAGGGACACAAAGACTTTTCTCTCCAAAGTCTTCAATGATTGTGCTCTTTTGGAATGTTTGTGGAGTTAGATCCTCTCTCAAAAGGATCAAATCTCTTATACATATGTACAGAATTAATTTTCTAGCCATCACTGAACCTATGGTTGATCTCTCTCAACATGATTCCTACAGAATTAAACTTGGTTTTTCTCAGGGGGCCTTCTCTAGCAACAACAAAATCTGGGTCTTCTGGAACTCAGAGTTTCTTAATCTCCTTTCTTTCTTGGAAAAGGACCAGTTTATAAGCTGCCATTTCCAAAACCTCTCAACTCACAACAACATTACCATTACTTCTGTGTATGGGAAACACACCAGTAGAGAAATGAAGACCTTATGGAAAGATTTGGAAAATTACACTACAAACTCTGAGTGGGTTGTTGGGGGGGATTTCAACACTATTGCTAACCTTTCTGAGCATAAGGGTAGGATACCCCCCCTGCAAACGGACATGGATGATCTCTCAGAATGTCTGGAAACCTGCAAGCTTACCAATCCTCGTTTAATTGGTAATATTTTCACCTGGTCAGGTAAAAGAAGCACGGGTAGAGTCTTCAGAAGACTAGACAGGGCAGTGGTCAGTGAAGTCATGTTGGACAATTATGATGATATTACTGTGACTCACATTAACAGTACCACCTCAGACCATAAACCTGTGCTGCTACAATGTATTAAGAATAACTATGATGGGCCCAAACCATTCAGATTTCTTAATATTTGGATGAATCACCCTAACTTCATGAAGACTCTCAAAGACTCCTGGAATTCTCAAACCTGTTTTGGGGGTATGACAGGGCTGGCTCACAAACTCAAAAGGCTCAAGGCTATGCTTAAAGAATGGAACAAAGATGTTTTTGGTAGGGTGGAGAATACTATTAAAGAGGCAGAACTCAAAGCAACTTCAGCACAAGAAAGGTTTGAGATTGATCCCTCAGATGCCAATAGGACTGAGGCTAATAAAGCCAAAGCTGAACTTATTTTGGCTACTGAAAATGAGATCAACCTCTGGAAGCAAAAGGATAATATCAACTGGATGGAAGGAGGTGACAGTAATTCCAAGTTTTTTCATTCATTTGTTAAAGGCAGGAGAATTAAATCCACAATCAGAACCATTGATAATAATAAGGGGGATCCTATCAACAAATCAGAGGAAATTCAAAAATTAGCAGTTGATCATTTCTCCCAGCTTTTCTGTAGTAAGAAGATTATCAATCTTAACCCTATAAAGGAATACTTGGAAGTAAGAGTTACAGAGGCTGACAACCTGGAGTTGACTAAAGTACCTACTGGAGAGGAGATTAAGGAAGTGGTTTGGAATCTGAATCCTGATAGTGCTCCTGGTCCGGATGGTTTCAATGGCAAATTTTTTAAATCCTGCTGGGACATTGTCAAGGAAGACATTATCAGTGCCTCCCAAGAATTTTTTTTAGGGATCCCAGTCCCTAAAAGTTATGGAAGTACTTTCTTAACCTTGATCCCCAAAAAGGAGGACCCAAAAAATTTCAGTGATTACAGACCCATTTCTCTTTCCACTTTCATGAGCAAGATAAACACAAAGATCCTGGCCAATAGACTACAAAAGATTCTCCCTAAAATCATATCTTTTGAG